TCCCGAGTGCTGGGATTACAGGCGTGCCCATCACGCCCAGCTGAGGAATCATTCTTATTGTTACCGGCAGCTGAGTTAGAGAGAAATATTACAGGCAGTCAGACAGGGCAGGCCCTAGAAGGAGCCAGTGTGGAAGACAAGATACCTTACAAATGGAGAGGTGGTACTTGCTTCGGGGTAGATCTCAAGACCAAAGATTAAACAAACACACCCTCTTACCTCCCTAGGGAGGGACCTCAGGGACTGACATTCTAAATAGGTAGCGATCACCTTGAAGAGTCCTTGACCTTACAGGAAAAGCCCCTGTTCTGTATTCATGCCCACTTGCTATGCTTCCCCATTTGATCCCAATTTTACCTGAACAATTCTTAGTGGCTGACCATAGTTTTGTCCATTTTTCCCCTACCTTGGACCCACCTCACCTCCTGGTTTTGCTCTATAAAAGTCCCTAAAAGAGACAGAGTCTTGGGGTAACCCACTCGGGCCCCCCTTTTGTCCCTCTCTTGGACAGAAACTTTCTTTCCCTCAGTAAATATATTCTGCTCTTAACCTCCATTTTTCCTAAAATTCATTCTTCAATTTTAGAGAACATGAACTCCTCCCGGATATCACTCATTTCTGGAGTTTTTATTTTCCTGTATCATTATTATTGGCTAAAATTTGGGAAACAAGCAGGTATGGTGGTTTACTAGCTCTCTGGGAAGCTGAGGCAGGAGGATCAGAAATTTGAGCAGGCCTGGGCAACTTGGTGATTTAGAGAACACTGTCTCAACATGAAAAAAATTTTAAAAAGGGTGAGGATGCAGATCACTAATGCCACTGACACCTAAGCGAGTTATGTTTATACCTAGTCTCACTGGTGCATGGCCGATTTTATTTCTTTAACAGCTTTAATTTCTGTGTTTTGGAAAGCCAAATTTCCCAAACTTGCCTTCCATTTGTAGATATTATTTGGAGCATAAGAAACATCTCTGTGGAAGACTGAAAAGATGCTGAAATAATGAGACGAGAATGAAGGATTTCAGACTCGCCCACTCCTCCCACGGGGCTGAAGTCCTCAAAGGGTGTGAAACAGACCCGGCAGGCAGCAGAATCTCATCACAGGTCACGTGCAGGGGGTCCCCACTCACTGGGTGCTTATGGCACAGAGCGTTCCCCCAAGATAGTTTTTTCTAAGACGTGAGGACTTGCTTTTAAAAGATGTATATCCATGCTGATAAAGACAAACTTTCTGTCCTGAACAAGGTTGGAAAAACACTGTTTTCTAACACAGATATTGAGAAAACTTACATGAAAAGTTTTTACTTGTCATCTACCTAAGAGCCCTGAAAGAGGGCTCAGAGATGATCATTTTTTGTAAGAAACTCTCCCTTGACTGCATTAATTATTCAGAGAAAATCATTCTCAGTTTTTAGATGGAGACATTGGAATGACTAACAATTATACATAAAAAATTTGTCTGTTTCACATAATCAGGGAAATGCAAATCAAAACAACAGTAGAGCACTGCATAATATCCAACAAATTGGCAAAATCAGAAGGCCGAGTACATTACTTTTCTTGTGCTGCTAGTACAAGGTACTATTCTAGGCAGCTAAATTACATAGAAATTAATACATAGTCAGTGAGGAACGGGCCCCTCAGGGTCTCAGAACAAAAAATAAAACAGAACTATTAGCCAGGTGTGGTGGTACACCTCTGTAATCCCAGTATTTGAGAGGCTGAGTCAGGAGGATTGGTGCAAATTCCAGGCCAGCCTGGATTACATAGTGAGTTCAAGGCCAGACTAAACTACTTAGCAAGGCCCGGTCTCAAAAAAAAAAAAAAAAAACAAAAAAATGAAGCTGCAATGGCCAGGCCTCCTTGCCTCCTTGAGAGATAAACAATGCCTTGAGATTATACTGTAATCAGCACCATCTGTCCATGAATTCCAGGTGGACATCAGTCACCCAGGTGGGTGTCCAGAGCACCTGGACCCATCCCTTCCCAAAACGCCTTTGTTCTGTGTGCACCCGCTATGTGTGTGACTCTTTTCCCTCTGGGGTCGATAACATCCTACAGATCGGCTGTAGCCTGACCCACGTTGTACCCTCCTGGTGACCTTGCTATATAAGTTACCCCTGACAAAGGGCCTCGCCGGCCACTCCAGGAGCTATTCTCTTCCCGTTATTTCCAGCAAAACTCTCCTGGCTTCCTCCCTTGGTTTGCAGCTTCAGTCCTCAATGTTGTGGGACCACAGAACTGGCAAATCTGACATCCAGCGGGTTGGGAGTCACGTCGGGATCTGGGGAGGGCCCCTTCCTGGCTCACTGAACAGCACCTTTGGGCCGTGCCCTCTGTCGCACAAGGGGCAGGATGGCGCCCTGCCATGCATGTGTGGGCACCAACCCACTCTCCAGGTCCCCGGGCCCTGCCTCCTCCAGTCAGGTGGGGGTTGGCTTCGGCACAGGAAGTCCCCCAGGACGGGGTCGTCCAAGCACGAGTGTGACTGATGCCATGGGGAGTGCACACTCGCTCTCGGGATGGTTTGCTAACGGGGGTGTTGCACAGACATTTTGGAGAAACGTCGAACCATCGCTGCTGTGCCCAGGCCTGTGCCCCAAGGAATTCTCCCACGCACCCTCAGAAAGCGTCCGTGATGCTCACCAAAGTCACACTGTGACAACGGGAAAGAAGAGCAACTTAAGGTGATAAAGAAGTGAAACCCGGCTGGCAAACACCAAGAAGTGTTCTCTTTTCTGCAATCGTGACACATAAATAGCGAAAATGAAAGCAGAGGTCAAGGTTCAGTCAAGCCTGCCCTCTCCCTGGGTTCACACCTGAGCGCACCGTGCCAGGGTCTGCGCAGCCCTGTCTGGCCGAGTTCCCAATGACCGAGCCATTGCCCTAGTAACCGGCAAGCCGGAGTGAGTGTCTGCTAAAGAACGTCACTGGAGGCACCCGTCCTCATTCCGCTGTCCTGTGCTGAAGCCAGAGGGCAACAGCAAGGCAGAGAGGGGGTTTGTCTCTCTCACCCCGACATCCAGTTTTGGAGATGTCTGAGAGACAAGGTTAGAAAGAGTCACAGCTTTGCCTGGTACGATGGCGAAGGCTTGTAATC